CGTTTAGACTGAAAATAATTAACCAAATTACTTTTTTAGTGGTGAAAATGAAAACACATTGTTCAATTTTTTGCTGGTTGCGCACAATCGACTCTAATTATAATATAGTCAATCTATGTTATTGAGCTAATTAACTCTTTCTTTCAATTCTCATGTTTGATTTGAAATCGTTAAAGCTTGATTTATATTTACGAATTCTATAAATTTTAAAAGATCTTCATGTAATACACGTACAACGAATGCATTTGAATGCACGTATAACGAATGAGATCAAGTAAAAACCAATTAGTGTATACATGTTTTCCAGCTTGTTATATGTTTTCACTAGTTAGTTACTGGCTGAGTTATGCAGCTTGTTAGAAGTTTCACTAGCTAGTTAACGTTCTTATAACTTTCTTTCTTTTGTAGCTGATGATGAACAAGATATTAGTGGGTCAGTGACGAATTTAATAACTTGGGGACCAATGTTAAATCATAAGAAACAAAAATGTAATTTCTTGAAATGTCTGTAAAACTGAGTGGGCCACTAGACAAAAACTAATAATTACAATATTTAAAAGGATCGATCATATCGGAAGGTGTAAGAGAGGTTCGTCCAAACTATCATATCATCAATAAGAAGAAAAAAAAAGTCATCATGAATAGAAAACACAGAGGAAGAAGTAATGTTGTGATAAAATGGACAAATGGTACATTAAAGTGTCTGCCTGACTATTTATTTCCCTCTCTTTCTAATTATTACGAACACCAAATCCCAATGCTCTCGCATTTCTTTTACCGCCCAAAGCCACGTTCTCTCATTTCTATGAATGTTGTATTCATCATAAAAATACTCCCATGGAAGTTTTTGAAACAACTACCTTATGAGGTAAAAAAGAATCATCATAGATAAAATATTTACTAATGTACTAGTAGTATATTTTACAATATTTAATCTGCGGGAAAAGTGGGGGTTTAAACGAAAGATGTCAAAATGATAAGTTTTGTAAAAAAGAAAGAGTATATTTCAAAGTTTTTAGACGAATAATACTTTTATACTGTAATCTTCTGACATCGCCTATATTGGCATGTGTAACGTTCCAAATACCACTATATATATGTGGGTTTTTAATTTTATGCTCGTTTGAAGCTCGTAAATTTCATTTTTTTTCAGATGGTCAGTGTATCATTTCAACAAATTCCAAAGATTTCTCCATTGACCGTGTAATCACTACAAACAAAATCTCAGTGTTTTGCACTGAGCTGCACTATATTAAAATTCGTTTTTTCAGTAGGTTATTAATCTTTATACCATTATAGCTCAAAAACTTTAAGTTGTAAGGTTCTCTCAAAATAAGTTATGCAGAAAACAAATGCATTTTAATGATATAAAGAGTCAACTAGTTTGTTTACGCATTTCCATCGTATTTACCCATTTCCTATAAGTTGGAATATTACATAATGCTTCCAAAAATATATCGTCATACAGTTGGGAGCAAGAATATTAACATTAGACTGATATAAAATTCGAGAATTAGTGGTACTTAAGATACTAGCACACTGCGCACGGCCAAACTCTTGATGCATGTGGACTTAGTAACAATCCTGATGGGGAATGCTGAACGTGCTAACACATCTTTAGCTAGCACATGAGGTTAACAGAGAACATGTCTTCACCTATTTAAAGACATGTACATACTCGAAGACAGAAATTTGTAACATGTTAAATATAGTCCTTAATAAGCAGTCTTTTAATAATCGGTCCCCATAAACTACCATACCAATGCGTTAGTTCGTCATTGCAGAATATTTTTTTTTTACTACAACAAATGCAACGGCCTATTTGAGAAAAAAAACGAAGTAATGGATCAATTTTAGATTGTTTACAAGACATGCATGGTTCAAATCTGAAAAAACGTTATAAACCTAAATGCAATTGTTTTCGGCTATAAAACAACTTTTCTTTCACGGGCTTATTATCATTTATTGCCCATTTCGTACATTCATCATTCTTTGACAATATCTTACGTGAAAAGTTGTATAATATATATATATATACATATCTAATTTTAATTACTACTAAATTTTTACATTTCCGCATATCCGTACTTTGAATAATAAGAAAATAAAATATATCACGAGCACTTGTTTTCGGAAGCTTCACGTCATCATCGTAATGAGAGTCACGAGTGGCACAGGATCTTTGAAATATCTATTCTTTTTCGATTTTGGCCGATTACAAAACAAAAATCAACAATGAAACATGTGTAGTGCTATTATAAGGCCACGGCTATAGACAGGAGATTGATGCGATATTGCGATACTAATATAATCGTATTATTCGTATATTAACTATCTAGATACAATTTTCTTTGTATCGTTAGTATTTTGTAAGATAAGTATCCCAAAAAAACTGTAAGATAAGTTGACGGATATATAGACAAATATGCATTATAAGTATATATTTGAAATAACTAAACCAAAAAGTAAATAGTTTTAGATAATATTCGAAGAGTACTATTTTTAAGAATATCCGAAGATATTTGATATAATGAAAGGCCGTTTTGCATAAACATTTTACCATTGTTGTCGTTACACTTGGTTCAAAGGCAGACAAAGTAGAAAATCCCAAAGCAAAGATAGAAAGTTACAAAGATAAGAAGTTAAAAAAGCACAAACCCAATAATATATTGACACGTCGGTAGCAGGTGAAACGTGTCAATATATTATTGGTGACGTGGCATGATACGTAGTTAAAAGAGTTATACATCCCCTAACTAGCAAACAGAGTTACATTACATCGAACGGTGATACTGATTATTGTAATCACGTGACGCACGTGATGGCCCATGACGACGGACGAGTGGAGACTCCTGGAGGCTGCCACGGCGTTTGACGGCGGAGGAGAAAACTCCTTCCCAGATTTCGGAGAAAGCGCGGATGATGATTCCGTGGTGGTAAGGCTCGTTGAGAGAGAGGAAGCAGTGGAGAAGCTCTCTGAGATCGTCTTTAGAGTAAATCTCGTTCTCGAGGATCATCTGAAGCATAGACTGCCGGAAATCGAGGTAAGGGTCGTCGGAGTCTTTCTCAACGGCGACAGCGGCGGTAGAGGGTGTGGCGGAGGAGGAAGAAGTGTTATCGGAGAACCAATGGGTGGTGGAGGGAATGGCGGAGGAGGAGGAGGCAGTAGTGGAGGAGTGGCAGTGGCCGTAATTAGAGGAGTAGTGGCGGGGCTTTTTGGGGAGACGGTTGAAAAAAGACGACAAGTTTGGGAACTTACAGTTGCTGCAGCCGATGTCTACAACAGAGACTGCCTTAAGGACCGTCTTCTTCTTCTTGCTTTTGCCCGCCATTGTTGTCTCTTTTGTGACTCTGTCTCTGACTTCAAGCAAATAGAAATAGGTTATAGAGAGAAGAGAGAAGAGAAAGAGAGAGTCTACTTGGGATTGGTATTAAAGGATGCATGTGGGGACTCATGAGATGGATTAATGAGAAGTAAACTCTTAGCAGTTAGCATCAATTGAATAACAATTTGTAATTTCTTTTAATTTTTTCGAACGGTTTCTAAAACACAAGTATATGTCTACATATGCATGACAGCATGCGCATTAATTCGACATTTACTCACTCCACTGATTCTATAAAAGAAGATTAGATAGGGACTCAGGGTTATTTGAGTTAAATTTACTAAATATTTTTATGCTGTCTATTTGATAATTTACCATGTCACTCAAAATCTACAATGCAGCTATACTTGGACAATATATATAGGCCGTAAAATATTGAATATACCTGCTTTTCTATACAAAATGAAGATTATTATCTAATTCACTCATACTAAAAGTTTTTTAATGATATATTAAAATAGCACAAGTACATAAGTTTTTGTTTATGAACATATTCAACCTGTTTCTTAATTTGAACGAAAAATGTCAAAACAATCGGAATTATTAACCTGCTGCCTAAAAAAGATTGATTGGGAATGTACTTCACACATTTTTTTTTCCTCAATTATTCTTCCGATTTGGAAAGATGCTTCCTAAGTTCCTACCCGCATTAAGAAACAAAATAAAAGAGGGGAAAACAAATTAGAACACATATTTGAACAAAATTAGGTTCATTTTACTTATTGCCCTAACCGAACTAGTCAATTGATTTAAATACCTTCTCGGAAATATTTAGTTTAAACATTTTGTATTGGGCCATTATCAGCTTAATAAAGGCGCCTTTATAAAATCATCTGTTACCCAGACTGATGTAAGCCCAAAGGCCGTACTAGCCCACAGAAATCCGCCAAAAACATCTTCCTCAACAACTGTTTTCTCTGATTAAAAACCAACCGATTCTTCTCTCAATATGTATTGAATCGTCTCAAGCTTGCACCATGCAAGCATCTCTCTCTAGGAGTCTATCGATTTCCATCGTAATTTCCCATGTGGACCGATTTGTTCTAGTTAGAATTTCAGTTATTTCGGATTATTTTCTTCCAATTTCCCATTCTTTTCTGTATGGAAGTATATATTTTGTTGATTTGGTATTAGTTAAGTTACTATATAATTTAATTGTTTTAATTTATGTGATTCTTCTTGAAACATTTGGATGATACTTAGCAGTTTCATAGTTACAGCCAAATATATTTACATTTAATCTCGTGGTGTAAATACTTTAAATACAAATATTCCATTGGATTGGTTGTAATCTCTAAAATTGCTAAGTATCATACTTATATATTTTTTGTACTCCAATTGAAGCATTGACTCTGTCTCTGTCTATCAAGTTTTTTCCATTTTGACTAGGTTTGCCTGAAAAAACAAGAGTAGAAGAATGTATTTGTAAATTGTAAATGAAGCTTCGGATAATATATATATATATGCCGAGAATAACCTACAAGAAACAAATATTGGAAATAACGGTCAAACGGAAAACCCGTTCCTCGTACCCCCAAAATCACGTAGCGTCTGTGGCAAGAAATTTAAAACCGTTTACTTTTCACTGATTTTTTTTTTCTAAATGCTTTTATAAAAAATCCAGACCACGATTTATTCCAATTATAGAACTCACGCGTCTTCATAAACATTACCCTCTTCCTTTTTTTGTTTTCCTCTTTGAAATTCTCAGTTTTTGATTTTTTTTTTCTTTGCTTATAACGGAGAGACCCTCTCCTTTAATTTAGGTTTGTTACTAACTTATACATTTTTTATAATTTTTTTTAACATACAAAACCATTTTCGATAAACATAGTTTGATCTCATCTGCAGTTTTTCTTCTGGGTTCCTCCGCGAAAAAAAACCCTTTTAATCTTCTTCATACGTCCAAGAAATCATACGAGGACGAGATCTTCCTAACGTCTTTGATCTTCTTCAATAGGTTCGTTCACATTTGATATGTGATAAGTTAATTTATCGATTCGGGATATATAATGATTGTTGAATCGTTTCTGTTATGTTTCTAATGAAATGTAATAAACAGGAAATAATTCTGATTTGGTCGAAGATGTTGGGGGATTTCATCATCAGACTCCTTGTGTATGTCCTACAATGTCTCATTCTCTATTATGAATTTTATATAGTAATAGTAATCCCTTTTGGATAATTCATCATATTTAATGTTTTATATAGACTAATGTATGTATATAACATAAAAATGATGATACTGGCAGATTAATACTAGGGTACACATACCCAGCATTCGAATGCTTTAAAACGGTGGAGAAGAACAAAGTTGATATCGAGGAACTCAGATTTTGGTGCCAATACTGGTATATATTTATACATTTCTTCCTCTTTTAATTGTTGTCATAGGTTTGTTTAACATTCATATAACCGACAACTGTATGTATGTGTGCAAATTTTTTGTAGTGGCAAATTGATTCTAGTTAAATTGGTGAAAGTTAGATTTTTTTCGGTTATTGGCTTGTTTGATTTAGAAAAAGATAGAAGGCAACCAAATTCGGTCAAGGTAGGTAACTTAATTAATTTCAAATAATCTTTCCTACAAGTCTTTGGTTTCGAACTATTTTTTATATATGAAAATTTGGGAATGAATGGTACACTTCTTATTAGGATAATCTTATAGAGATGGTCAATGTGTGTGGTGCACGTCTCAGTATCTACTGGAAAAATGTTATTATATTAAACATTTTGTATTTGAATAATTAGGATACTGTTGGCGCTGATTTCATCATTTGAGAGGGTTGGCGATATATTTATATCATGGTAAGAAAGATCCATCATTAGTTAATTCATGCCTTAATTTTATCTCTGTTTTTTTTATCATCTTGATTACATTCATTAAATAATTGAAATATGCAATTATTATTTTGCAGGTTACCGTTGTACGGAGAAATGAAAGTGGTCTTCTTCGTATATCTCTGGTACCCTAAAACAAAGGTAATTGATATTTCCTTCTTTATTTTTATTTTTTTCCTAGCGCCAATGAAAAGCAACTACTGGGTAAAAGATAACTAAATCAACTAATAAAAAAAATGGTAAAAATGAATGAAGGGAACGAGACATGTGTACGAAACATTGTTGAAGCCTTACATAGCTCAACATGAGACAGAGATTGACAGAAAGATTATGGAGTTGCGAGCTCGAGCTTGGGATTTCTTCATCTTCTACTTCCATAACTTTGCACAGGTCCATTTTTATCCCTATTAATACTATCACTTAATCTTAACATTACCAAATAATAATAAAATTAATATCTATGCACAGGCTGGTCAATCCACCTTGATTCAGGCTTTTCAGTACGTACTCGCTCAATCGGTCCGGTTCTCTGCCGCAGCTAACCAACCGGTACTAACCCATTGCTTTTCAGGCACTTGCATATAACCTTTTTAAGCACAAATCATTTCTTAGTTGTACATGATTTGCGTAGGTTATTTTTGTTTACTCTGTTGTTTTTATCAATGCAAAGACATAAACAATCGAAACCTAAACGATCTAGTTACAATAAACACGTGTCCCCTCACCTCAATTCACACATATTCGTATAACTGAATTATATTTGGCCCATTTGTGTTGTTGGTGAAGCCAATGGAGCCGAAAGTGAACGTGAAAACGCGGTCACCAGTGGAGACGGAAAGTGAGACGTACTCACCTCCGGCTCCAAGACCGTTGAACAAATCGCTATCTGCGTTACGATCGTTAGAGAAGCAAACAAGCAGGGGAAGGAAATGGCCACCACCGACACCACCACCAACACCAGGCCGAGACGCAGCCGGAGCATTCAACGGAGAGGATGGAGCCAGCATCCCCGATACAATCCCGGGATCACCCCTCACCGACGCTCGAGCTAAGCTTCGCCGTTCTAACTCCAGGTCGCAGGCCGCAGCATAGTAACGTACATAAACGTGACTCGAGATAACTGATTCTAATTTGTTAAAAGATATATATAGGGAAAGGAAAAAGAAGGAAGTGAAAAGTTTTGAAATGTTTTAAAAAAACAAAACAGATTGATTTTGTTTTCTGTTACTTGTGTTTTTGTAAATTGAAGCAGAAAGTATTAAATACAGCGACAATATTTGTGTTTGTATTCGCTTGATATTATCATCGAAGTCCCTTCTAACTCCGGCTAATGAAGCTTTCTTTCGGATTTTTCGGTTCTTAGATGGAAGGTAGATCATTTGTTGATTATAAATTTATAATGATGCATTTGAATGGTCAAAAAAGAAATTATAATCAACTAATGTACCAATCCAGCCGATGAAGTATATATCTCACTTAAACTTACATTAGTATCTCTTAACCGGTACTCCTCTACATTGTCACTCGTCGTAACAGGGCACTCTAGCGAGAAAATGAATCATCATAATTTAATGGTACATTGTATGGAACGCACCTGCCACTGGTTCATACACGTTCTGTATATTGTCTCCCTCCTTGATCACATTTGCGGATCAGAAGCTGAGATGTGTGGATCATCTAGGTGTTGAGTCAACAGAGGTTGGGGCTATTTCACCCATTACTGGTGGTGGAGTACTCACATCAGCTATTCCATAATCCCAATCGATACCAGCTTTTGCATGAGTTAAGGATTGCATATATACGCAGATACATTGAACAGCTATATGTGATATTGAGAGAAACAGATTGATACATCAAAGGATACAGTCGGTTTTCCAAATATCCGTCATGCTAATTTCAGCATTGGAGAGAAGCCAGTAGTCCGTATCATCATTCTGCAGAATACAAGTGCGATATCAAATTACGTTAATAAGGTAGGTTTTAAGAGCCATGTTAATTTTTTTTTCTGATTAATGATGATCCAATGAAGTCCTTAAGTACTTGGTACTTATCTGTTTGAGATTTGTTTATAGCATTTTCCTATACTTTTTGCGAGTATCTTTAAAATAAGCAGGAAGATGGCTTACTTCGACTTCGGAGGCAGTAATCTTAAGCATCCCTCCTACTTGCTCTTGCAAATAATTTAGGTCAGCGGTGTCTCCAGGCTGAGAATGTGGATGTCCCTGTGACAACTGATGTTCAATGGCAGTTTCTGTGTTATTATTAACAGTCATGGCTTCCATGTCGTGGTTTTCTGTAGATCCTGAGCAAGAAGCAATAGGCAAGCATGCTGCTGGTGGAACACTCCCATTTGTGTCTTCAAACTTCCCCTCAAACTCGCTGAAATTGAGTACAAAGTAAAAGACATGTAAGCGGGAAAGTGCCTTTACAAACGATTTCTTGTTTAGTCTACCTCATGAGTAGAGTATACATTGAATAAAGGGAAATGTCTAACACAGTATCTATTATTCATACTAACAGCTACTCTATGCGGAATGTTTCACGCGGTGCCAGCAAAAAGATACTTTCTAGAAGTAAAAGCTTAAACTAAACCTTTGAGTGTTATGACAATTGTCTTACGTTCAGTTAAGTTTGAGTGACTACTACTGTTCATGTTCAAAATATATAAGTTTCTTTGACATATATACATAAGAAAACGATAGAGGAAACGAATAAAAAACCTGACAAGGTATACGTCAATAGGTCCCATTGTACTTCTAAGAATGATCCTGTATCTCCTTTGAGGGGAATCAGCCGCCTGTCATGTAGATAAGAACAAATATTATCATAACATTTTGGCAACTAATGATGAATGGAAGATGTCTTCCAAAGGTGCTCGAAGAGACTAACTTCATCTGGATCAGGGACTTCCAAAGTTGTGCCATGAGGAGCTTTGACGGCTATCAGAGTTTGGTTCTGCGGGAGCAACCAAAGTGAGGGTTAAGATATAAGTGAACAAGAAAGGTTTTGCATCGACATATCTTTTACTTCTAGTTGATAAAACTCCTAACGAGCTAAGATCGAATAGGAAAGGCAGACCTGGAAACCCGGTAAACTCTTGATATCCTCTTCAGTTACAAAAAGCCATCTGAACATTAGGTACGGATTGGTTAAGTATCAATCATAAGAACACCACCATCTCATTGCAAGAACAAACTAGCCTACAAAATGATAGATAGACGGAGATTTATACTTCTGGTTCTTTTCATTTTCGCTTAGATCTCTTAATCTTTCCTCCGTTTCTCTGCAAAAAAAAAAGTTGTTAAAGTCAGCATTGATTGAGTAGATGAATCACAACAAACACAGCTCTCTAAATGAATGCTATGAAACCTGATTTGGTTATCTAGTGCTTGCTCCTCGAGAGACAGGTTTTCAATTTCTACCTGCAAGGAGAAAACAAGATTCATCAATCAAACGAAGCCATAGTCAAAGCGCATGCTACTACACGATTTAAGTGCACAACAACTTTAAATGCATGCTAATTCACCGCACCTGTAAGCTAGACACGTCAGCATCCACATCGCCAGGCCCCGAAGCATCAACTCCCCTGGACAAGTTTATTGATCCACAAGTGAGTTTAGTTTACATGAAGCATATATGAAGAAAAGATATGGTTCAAACTACATAAGTATATATTAATAATATCATAAAATACTCACTTCCAAAGTATTCGGTTCTTCAAAGGCTTTTCAATGAGATCAATCCCTTCCAGAACGTTTGTGATATCATATATACGCCGTTTCTGCACCTCCAATGTCTCTGCAGCCTTGTTCAGGTCCAGCATTCCATCTTTGGCTTGTTTAATTAGATTCACGAACTTTTTTGTAAGGAGACCTGAAAAGCTTTATGTCAGCATCTCCATCTCCACTACAACATCTATTGAATCTTAAAGCTATATATATATAATAAACAGTTGTTGATTACCTAAAGAACTGTCATAACGGCAACTTCCAGATGGAGTTAGTGTAGCAGGAGAACCTACAGCTGTATCAAGAAGATAATCAGCTCTTTGACCTATTAGTTGCTTTACACATTCAAGAACTCCAGGGATAAAGAACTCCTTACCAGCATTTGAGATGGGCGTTTGTGGAATTGACTTGTTTCCTTTGGCATTTGACCTGATGTTGACTCTGCCTCCTTTCCCTGAAACTGGAGTTTGACATGGACTGCTGGGTATGCTACTGAAGCCAGAACTCGTGAATCCATTGTTAGATGAAGCGGTGACCACATCCATCGTCGACTTCCTCTTCCGTGACTGCAGATAATCTTAGCTTGTTAGCAACTAGAGAGAATACTTATATATATGATACATTCATGGTCGTAGAAAGAACAACATTTGGCGAAAATTCATTGATTATTGAAGAAGGAGAACAATTCAGTACAATTTCAACACGCAATTTAACAACCCACGGCTCAAAAAATTGCACAATCAACAGCAATTGGAGAAAGTGTTGCTGGATTTCGAGATTCGCGGTCAATTGGGTGTATTAGAAACGCACTGTTAGACAAATTTTGTGCGCAAATGTAGCATCGTGAAGCTAAAATGGGGACTAAAATTGTCAAGGCTCCATGATAATCTGATGCTGATGAGCATTATAAATCAGAAGGTATCGGAAAATGTAGCAAAAGGGGGGAAAATCTTATTAACATCCTCGAATTTCTAACCCATCCCGCTAGTAAATCCGAAATCGAGCAATCAAAATCACTCAAAACCGAAGCAAACTCACAGGAGATCTAACAACGACGGCGTCCTCCTCCCGATCTACGACTCCGCAGACATTAACAAGGCTTCTATCATTGTTAGTGAGGGAATAAGGGGTAAATCGATGGTAGTCATCCGAGGGGTGGAACGGCGGTTTTGTTGAGGCGAACGCTAAGTGTCGACGTATGGGTGGTACCACCGGCACAGATGCTGCCGGGGACGGGGATGACGGCGGATTGTGCGGTGGCGGCGGCGGCGGCTGAGAAGGACCCGGAGAAGATCGTACGCCGCCGGACATGGATCGTTGTATGGCGGAGTCCGATAGGGAGATCCCGACGGCGAGAAGAGCGACGGCGATTGGAGGAAGAGAGAAGGAAAACGAGGGTTTTAGTGATAGAGAGAGAGAGAGAGAGAGAGGTGGAAGAGGAAAAAAGGAGAGAGCAGAAAACGAGGGAAGGAGGGAATTTTATGTTGGGATAGATGTGGAGGGAAGCCTACAGCAAAAAAAAAAAATAAGAAAGAAAATAAAAAGCTTTTAATTTTTGTTTCTATTTGTGCCCCGTAATTTTATATTGTTTCAGATTGGCCCCACTTACTTTACTTAAATTTCCTTATCTCTCTAGTGACGAGATCACTGAAATTCTATGCTAAGTGTGATCAAGATATTGATCCAGAGCTTGTTTTGAATATGATTGATTTTGAATCTAATTTTATTTTAAAGGTGTAGTCGGTATACAGATTTCTGCAAGAGATTGAGATAGCGTTTGTTTATAGTACATGTGCTGCTGTTTCCGTTACGCATATTAATACTATATAAAACCACTGGTTTTAAATTGTTTTATTAAAAAAAATCAGTAGTTGTTTGTTGTATGACAGTGGAAACTGCTACAGAAGCGTAGTACAAAAGTGTTGATTATTTTGTTACTTGAAAAGAATTCATAATTCAATTCACTACATCAAGGACTGAGATATTTATTCAGTTTGATCACAATTCCACTTAGGTACCATTTGGTTTCGTCATTCGTGTGTTGCTGTCACGAGCGTACGTTAAAAGCCCATTTGAGCCAAGACAGTAGATATGATACCTTTCAAAAATCATAAGAGAAACCAAATGCCCCCAAAAAGAAAAGAAAACATGTAAAACAGAGAATCAAGACTATAGACCAATGGCAAGATTCACGAACTTATCAAAGAACTAAAGCTCTGTATCGTCAAGATTCGACCCAATTGTCCGGTTAATCAGTACATATTCTCATTCATCCTCCTGCATCCACGGGACTAACAATACCATCTTACATTGTATATGAACATTCTTTCACATATCAAGAAATGATCTCTCTCTGTCTCTCTCTCTCAAAATGTAGGCAGAGACTTGGTTTCTTCATTCTTTGAGTTCTTCTGAATCATTCAATACATAATGTACCTAAAGCAAAAACAACCCAAACAATTACAAAGAGTTCTTACGCATTCTCCTGACCTTTAGAAAGCAAAACAAAAAGCAAGAAAAACTCTCACCACTTGCTCTCCATGTTCTAGCAAAAACTCTATAAATCAAGAATCTTTTTTTGTACAGAAGAAAGGCGAGGTCTTCAATGGCGGAGAAGAATCACTACATACCTCCAATGTATCCCGAAACCCAGCTTCGTTCGTCTTCAACATCACCGGCAACGGGAACCTCACCCCTTTCGCCGCACAAGCCTGGTGTCTCGGTTTGATCCGGTTCTCTAAGCTGAAGGAGAAATACTGCGGAAACTCGAGGATCTCTCTCACGTCTCTCCCCATCTCTCCCATCAGGTAATTCAGCTTCGGCTCGTAATTTTCGGTGATGCTGTAATTGAACAGCTGCGGGAATCTCCGGAACATTGTGGTGGCGCTCCGCCGAGAGAACCCCAGTTTCTGGAAGTAATCGATTCGTGGGAGGAGCTTGTGCTCGACGCTGCAAGAGAGGAGGTAGGTGTGTTTGTGTGGATCGAGGATTCCGATTCTCTGGAGAAAGTAGAGCGTTGGCCGGAGCTGACAATCGACGCTGCAGGCGAGAAGACGAGGTCGACGGCGTAAGGCTTGGCGGAGATCGAATACGCCGTCGACGCCGACTTCGCGGAGGAGGAAAGTGATGACGGGGATTGTGTGGGAGGTGAGAGGGGAAGTGAGAAGCTCCGGGCACATGGAGACGAGGCGGCGGAAATCCGGCAAGGAGAAGTTGATTGGCGGGGTGGTCATGTAATCGACGACGGATCTAACGGCGGAGAGAGCGGCGGAGAGGAGAGGAGGGTGGCGGTTGATTAGAGTGAGGAAGTCGATTCCGAGGGAATCGAGGTAAAGGAGCTTCTCGTGGATATCGGTTTCTAGGGTTTCGGTGGCGGAAGGGAAAGAGGGGTGATCTGGGGATTTGGGAGGGAAGAAGAGTGATGAAGAAGAGGTGTTTGGTTTGAAGGAAAATGCGGGGAAGCTGTGGAAGCGAAGGCGAGAAAACGGAGGAAAATGAAGGTGGTGACGGGAAGGGAAAGTGGAGGAGAGGAAAGAGAGAGCTTCTTGTTGCATTGTTCAAGAGACATCACTGTACTACATGGATTCTCAATCTCTCTCTCTCTGAAGCCTGAGAAGCAAAATGATAAAAGGATAAGACGGGAACAAACTGTGATTTGAAGATGGGGATTTGGAGAAGAGAATGGGATATTATCGATCGTATCTCCATCCACCCGGTTCAATTCAGAATTAAACCGGTTTGTTCCAATCAGAACCAAAATGTAAAATGCTTCTTCTTTTTTTTGGGTCTGCTAGGCCCACTGGCCCGTTTATTATCTCGTGAAGGGAATTTGCAAACTGCAAAATGGTCTAGGTCCTCCACAACAAACGTAAATACAGTATGCTTTCAAAGAATATAGTATTCAACAACATTTCGTAATTTATTAAATCCTTGAATAGTTAGAGTTCAAATATGACAAAAGATAAATACATTAATACACGATTGATTTTGAATAATGGCCAAGAAAAAATACGAGTTACAAGAAACAGTAGACTAAAATACGTAATAAGAATTTAACACGAGTCGCCTTCGGATGTGGGAGCGTCCGTAATATCATCCCACACCATTTTGGACACAAAGTCGTCGTGCTTTGGTACATACTCCTGCAATCACAAAGATGATAAGTTTAACTAACTTAATCATCCTCTTTAGGGATTAACACATTTAAACTATATATAAAAATAGAATAATCAGAGATTAATGAAAAGACATAAACCTCAAGAAGTTGGAGCAACTGAGGAGCGGTCGAGGCGGAGACGATGATACGGCGAGCGGTGGAGGAGACAAAGCCTTCGTCCACTGCCTTATCTATAAACGTCAGTAGTGAATCGTAGAATCCATTCACATTCAATAGTCCCACCTGCATTTTGTTGTTGTTTAACTTTACATTATGAATATATACTTTAATCAAAGTTATCGCACTCCCTTTCCATGTGTAAAAGGATCTTCATGTATGTTTGCCAATCAATCGTTCATGCATTAATTCGTATTTAGTACGTACGATATGATTTTTGGTGTACGTACTTAATTATGAATCTATGATTATTTCATATCATGTGACTATATGAAGTTTTACAACCTTATTTGAGACATTATTCCATGTGACTATATGACTTCAACCCATATGCTTAGATTCTCTTTTCACACATGACACATATGTAGCCGATTAAGAAAATTGTTCTTACTTCTTTCTTACTTGTATATGTTGATTAGGAAAATCTTTACTTCTCCTTTCATAAATTTTGTTCGTCAACTATGTTTTGTCGGATAACCGGATATACCGGCCCGAATCTCAAGGTTGTACTTGTATTTTTATGTCTAAACGAAGTTGATTGATTACCGGTTTAGCGTGGATCCCAAGTTGAGACCAGGTGATAACTTCCAGCAACTCTTCAAATGTCCCATATCCACCTATATTTTGTTTGTCAAATTTAATAACACCACACACACTATTTTATAACCTTCCATGATTTTAGATTTTATAAATATGTCTTTAATCAACATAAATGTAGAGATTAAAAAATATGAAAAAAATGCCAAACCAGGAAGTGCGATGAAGGCATCCGCTTGGCGACCCATTTCAGCCTTCCTTTGGTGCATAGTCGATACCGTTATAACCTCTCCAATTGATTCGCCGGTTATCTATAAACCGAACATCATTTCATCACAGGATTCACAGCCATCATAATCATGTTTTAGCTCACATGTATTTTACTAAATATTCATTTGGACTACACTAAAGAAACTATATATATATAAACTTCTTACAGTGCTCGTTAAATGTACAGTAGATTTGTAAATACCTCTCTTAGTGCTAGAGACTTCGGAATGATCCTGCATAACATGCAAACAAACAATGTCAATACATGCAACAAACAATGTAATTTGTACTACTAATTTCAAATCAATAATTTCGTTTAGTCGCCTTACTTTACAATTGTCAAAGATTCTTATCATTTCTTTATTTCCTTTCGACTTTAAAGTTCAAACTTCTTTGAAACATTAAAATTAATGATTAGTTAGTATGTTTAAGGAGATTCGTAGAACTAAAGACACCTGCAGTTTCCCCCATGGCTTTAGATTTGCCTAAAGATAATAGAAAATGAGCAATGTTTTGAAATATGTTACAAAAAATAAAATTATTATCATATCAATTTTTTAGAATCTGTCTTGAAGCAGTCCAATTTCTATGTATGATAATGTTACCCATTTGAAAGACAGAGCAAAAACATGGGAAGACAAAAAAAAATAGAGAATGATGTAGTACTGTCGCTTTGAATGTATAGATAAATTATAGCCTCTTATGTTTTATTGTTTAATAATTTTAATAATCAAAATTGAGAGACAGAGAGACATAGAGGCAGAGATAGATACCCAAGAACATGACGACCACCATCATGAACAGCCTGAGATATGAGACCCATTAGCCCCACGCTTCCTCCTCCATACACCAAATCGATTCTTCTCTCCACCTTTAACATTTACATATGTTTTATTTAATGTCAAAATACCATTTAACATAGTCTTTTCTAGATGACTTTATCAATCTAAATTAACTTAATCTTTTTTGACACACCCATTTAACGTAATTAATATCTATCTTTTTGACTCAACAACAGTAAGCATTGTGGAATTTTATATATACCATAATAAAACTAAATGATATGATCATGCATACCATGCAACATACAGTGTCAATACAACATATTTATTTACGATTATATATATACAATGGACATATGTTTTACCTATATACATGAGGTGTATAGAATATCTCTGAAGTTTTTTGTGTGTGCTATTACAAGAATAGAGAAGACTTAACATTCAACGAAATAGTTACTAAAAATTCGAAATCTATTATCGTAATATAATTCTTAATTAGTGAGTTCATTAAAAAAAGGCATAAAGTGAGAGGGTGTAAATAAAATGTGGAAATTAGAGAGGAACCAGTTGGTGAGCGAGTTGGAGAGCAGCGTCGTGATAGGTGGTTTTGTTGCCGGAGCTGCTTCCGCAGAAGACACAGATCCTCCTGAATCTTGATTTTGTCTCTTCCATTTTGTTTTCTTTCTATCTATGTCTCTCTCTTTCTGTCCTTTTCTGTCTCTATCTTCTTTTTGATATGCGAGGAAGAAGTATACAGATTTGTTTGGCTAAGGATCCAGGTAGGCGCTGGCTATATATACATTTTAATATGTTAGTTTATCTTATTATTGGATCCCGTAGATTGTGACAGCTTTAATTCTTCTTTACAATATGCTAGATTATGTTCTAAGTTATTATACTTTTTAGAATATAAGTATTTCACATAAAAAGCAATGATTATATGGTTGACTAACAAAATATTCTGAGATTTTAGTTATGAATATAAGAAGTCGTTTTAAGTAACGAACATAGTAAATTTTTATTAGTTTGTAACATAATCACAAATCCATATCTAATAGAATTCAATACTAACAACAGTGTGAAATGAATCATTTTTCGTCACCAAAAATGACAGCGACTCAACGTCATATCCTTTTTTTTTTTTTTTTTTTTGTAAAAGTTGTCATATCCATTTTTAGGGGCAACTTTTTCTATTTCCGGCATACTTTTGGTCTTCATCGTAGCCGTTGTTGTTACCATTGTGAATCTGTGATTAATAGATGAACAAGGTTTAGGTTACAAAATAGATTGATTTTTTTTTTTTACTGAGAACACCCTGTTTCAGTTTAAACAGACTCAATCTCTTCTATGTATTCAATAAAAAAATGTTTAAAATCATCAGGATACATTTCATACCACATTTTCATATCCGATGTTGGATTTTTTTTTTTTATAAATTATTTTGTATTTCAATTCTTTTATGATTTTCGACTAACTTTCATGGCTAATATAGCGGCTAAGCATCAATATTTTTTTTTTGCAACGCTTCAATTGCACCATACATGTGTCCTTAAACTTACGTATGTTTGTTTATTTTATAGAATATTGGGAATATTAACCACTTATACATATATCCTCCTTAAAAAAAAACAGTCTGAAACAGTCCTCCATAAGTGAGATCACATCTACAAAATTAATTATATAAGAAGGTGATTATCAATTTTTGTAGATAGAGAGGATCGCATAAATTTATGTTGGTATCGTTCAAACCTTGATCAATATACAAAAACATGTACGGATCATATAATCATGTCAGAATCTTTGGTTTAAAATACAATAATCCAGATTTGAGAATCTTGGACGTGGAAAATTGAAAACACAATTAATTCATATGGTTCGATTTCTTTCATTAGTTACGGTGGACGTACTAAATGAAAAAAAATACTCGATTTCTTACAAGTTTGGGAAATAAATTGAGTTTGATTCGAAATATCCGGTTACCAAAAATTAAATGAATGAAATTTTCGTGTATTTGACTTATAAATAAGCATAAAAACTTTAGCACACCCACCTATTTTATACATAAATAAGCATACAAACTTTATCACACCTATTTATACACAATGCACATAAATAAAGGTTCTATATAGACATGAATCTCGATATCCAGCATCGATATCATGATCGTAATCCAGATTCGACAACTTACTCAATGTTTTATTATATACAATTGAGATTCGAAGACTCTATATAATCAAATTAATTAGTATCAACAAAGGATTTGCTAAGATCTCATACTTTGGATATTCTGCCTACCTCAGTAGCACTGATAGAAATAGCTGTCACGTTTAACTTTAGTTTATTAGTAACCCTTTACAATTGTGTTCACAAATTTAGTTTGACCCCAAACAAATCTCGAGAATGATAGATGTATTGCCAATAGACCAGTCGCTCTACGAGAGGCCACGTCAAAAACCAAGCAATCTCTGAATCATTTGTTATTTATTTTATTTGAAAATAAAGAAAAATTCAACGTCAGACAGAGAAATATAAATATAGAGAGCCCACTGGGGTTATTCATGGCGCAACTTACCACGAAAAATCAATTAATGTTTTCAATTTATGATAATTACAATGGTAAGTTTTTGATAGTGATTAGCAAACTTTTAGATAATCATCGATTGATTGTTTTGCAACACGGCTATCACAATTTTTTGATTAATCAGTCTTTATAGATCACTTATTCTGTGCATAATCAAAACAAACTCGAATAATCATATGAGTATGCAAGTTCATGTTCATGATATCCCAAGTTTATTCTCTATTCCATACAAATAAAACTGACATAGGTCAGGCTCGATAAAAATAAAAAAATCACTATAAGCTACGTTTTCTCATTTTCGAATTATATTTGAGTTGCTTTAACAAATAGCACACTTATTTTTTTATGATTGCAATCAACCCAACAATCTAGTAAGTTTTTATGATTATCACATATCAAATATCTTAGATTTTTAATAGAGAATCTATATAAATCAAAAATTTATGCAGATGCAGCGATGCATCCAGCTTTAAAGCTCAACAAAAGGACGAATAGCCGTAAGAAATCGCAGAAATTTACACTCAAGTTTCCCTTACTTAATATTGAACTGACATATGAAGAAAATGAAAGGAAAGAGTTCACGATGAAAGATTCAGAAAAGAAGAAGATTAGAGAAGGAAATCACTGGAAGAGCAAAGACATAACCTCTTTTACGGTTCTCGCTGTTATTGGATTATATAGAATTTTCACCAAACTGCAAAATGTTTTTTAGCCGTCCCAAACTATTGTGCCACATGTCAAAATTAATTGAATGATTCGCCACATAACACAATTATATGAATTACTAACTTTACGTATCCAATTTTATATAATAAGATATCAAATTATATCATGTACATTTTTAAAAACATTGTTTTCGAAATTATAATTTTCATAATTAAGACACATATGCAGGTTTACTGCCCAAAATGTTAAAGTTAGCCCAAACAGAAACGTAAAAGCAGCCCAATCGATTCTTATTAAAGGTTTTTTAAGTTTTAACTTAATAGCAGCCCAATCGACTCCTTATCAATGGAGACGAAGCCCAAATACTTATCATTCAAACGCCGCCGTTTTTAATGCAGAAGCTACGTGTTAAATAGTCTGTGATGACGAGGTTAAACATGGCCAAAGTCTCCTCAAACAAAACTGAATCTCTCTTTCAGATAATAACACGGGAAGATTGATTGCTAAATCAAAATAAGTATATAGTAACGATCCATCAATTGCTCCATCATAGGAGCTTTTTTTTTTGAGTTAGCTATGAAGAAATGCAAAAGAGGAAGTTCACAAGGTAAGTGAAACGGATAATGGTTTGAGAACATATATATAGTAACGATCCATCAATTGCTCCACAGTCCGCAATAATGGAAAGCGATCAGAAATTAGAGTGAAACAAAGATCAAACATCAATCTCTCTTTCAGAAAAAAAAAGAAGAAGATATTGAGCGATGAATTTTCAAATGCAACAGGAGTCCCTTATGGGCCATGAATTTTCAGCTTCAAGAATCCACGGCATCTAAACCAAAAAGAGATAGTGACAACTAATACATCTCTAGTGGTTTTATAGTTCCGCATGCAGGAAAGATCACCTGAATCATGGAGGCCCGATCATCTCCCCCCCAATCAATCTTGTTCCTAATTAAAATGTTAGATTTAAAAACCGGTTCTTTAGCTCCTCAGAAGAACATTCAGTCCATTGGTTTTGTCCTGTGACCTATACATTGCAATCAAGTGTTATTATGTTTAAACATTTCATGATACCCCAACAACAACAGCAGCAACAAAACACAAAGATCAGCATTTCAGAGGAAGAACCCTCAGGAAACTGTGAGACATCACTGTACGTGAACCCTCCTTAACAAAATAAATAAACAAAACCAAACAATTAATTAACTATATAGATTTAACGGAAAACATCAAAAGTTAAGTGAATCTTTGTAAGCACCAGCATATAATTTTTGACAGAAAAACATTATGCAGTTCAGTTGTGACTTGTGAGACCAAATGTGTTCTTTCTTTACTTGTTCCGACTGCCAAAAGTTAACACTAATTAATTAATATATAGTTTTACCGGTGGCTCAATAACTTTTTAATGCAAAAGGGGGTACCACTTGGTCATGGCCCATAAGATTTTCGCTAGTGTCAAAAACAACTGATTAAAGAAATTATTCACCAATAATTTTTCATATATCTTAACCTATTATATACGTTAGACAAAACAACACCATGCACATAGTAATAGTTTCTATTACAACATGTTTTCAAAATGTACAAAAAAGTGTCACGTAATCTCTGAAGTTTGAAATGGGGAGATTCTTAAAACGCATACACGCATATCACATAAACTAATGTTTTATTTATATATAACAATGAACAAGGAAAACTGAACAAAATGTATACAATAGGCTCTATACATAATAGGCTATAAGTCGTATGTCGCACAGGAAAATAATAAAAATAAACGAACCAATAATGTTAATATGATGGAAGATGAAAGCAAAGACTTAGAAATCGAAGTCGCACTTGAGAGGGAGAACGGTAGCGAAGGTTGTAGTTCCGTTGAAGGTACTTAAAGGAAGCCTTAGATCATCACAATTAACCTTAGGCTTAGTCCTCCGAGTCTTCAAGTCCCCAAGTTTAAACCTAACCCTAAGCCTAAACTTGATCTCTATATCGTAAACTCCGGCGATCCTCTCCTCGTTGTAAGTCCGTGACTCTCCGGCGTTAAAGATAACAATGTGTTGGCCTTGGAACGTTGGTGTGAGAACGGTCGTGTTCTTGTGTCCTTGATAGAAAGGAGTTAACGTGGTGGAACTAAACCTCTTTCCATCGTAGTAGGCATGAGCTTCGATCCTGTCGTAGTAGACTCCGATTCTCTTGTTAGGGTTACGGACAGGGACAGTGAGGCTTAGGTTATACCTTAAAATGTTGTCGGGGGAAGTGTGTTCAAAGCGGGTAAGGGAAGCTTGTGTCACGTGGAACTTGATGGATCGAGGACGGACGATGAGCCAGAAGATGAGAGCGGCTATGCCAAGGATGACAATAATGGCTATGATGACTTTGACGAAGAAGCTGAGGAGGCAGCAACCACAACCGCGGCTATGCCCAGGTCGGCGGAAGTAGCCTTTGGGAGCCGGTGGTGGGACTGATGGACCGTAGAAGGCACCGTTGAGAGGTTGTTCAGCCATGTTTTATTAGTTCGTGGAGGGTTTGGATTAATGGATATTATGGCTAAGAGGTTAATGCAAGTCCCTCTTTATATACACTTTTCATTTATGCGTTGGTCAACTTAGATTATTAGATAAAGTATTGTCAAGTTACGCGGTGATTTGATTGAATATTTGACCAGAGAATATTATGCAATTGTAGGCTTGTGATGTTTCACCCATAACTTCCAATAAAGAGTTTATTTATTTATTTATGCAAGAGAGATATATGTTATTTCTTTTTGGTCTCCCGTCGTACGTTGGTTCTCATTTTTACGTTATTCATATATATATGATGAAAGCGTTCTAGAACCTAGCTGATTCAATTTAGTCCAGGTTTTGAGAAGATTGACCTTTATGATATCTGTGCTTTAGTTTCCTTTGAAAAAAAAAAAAACTCTTAAAGGCTTTTCTTACTACAACTTTCTTGCGTTCCCATGAAAATTCCTACAAACACATACAAACTTAACTTGAAACCTATTTAAGATTTGGATCTAGTTTTCAGCATTGAGACAAGCAAACACTTTGTAAGTTGTTGTAATTTACCAAGATTTCAGGTTCTTGTCATGTTATTGATGCATAACACATGTTGTTCAATATATTAAGCATGTTGGTTGGAGAGAAGGGTCGGTTTTGTCTTTCAAATAAGATCTAGAATCATCTGTGACCTGCTCCTATTTAAAGCCTCCGTTTTTGACTGTCCTGGTCATACACTTTTCTTCAAAGGATTGGTTTATCATGCAAGTGGTTTCTTCTTTTGTGTTAGAGGATGAATGCTTTTAATAAGGAAACAAAGTTGATCGGTTTGGATTAAAAGGAGAAAAGGGATTGCGAATGGGTGTACCTGAAGCAACCATCTCTATTCCTTTTCTTTTCTTGTTCAAAACGCTTTTGCCTCTCGTTTTTTTGTTGTCTCTCTTTGTATGGATTTTGGTGGGTCTAAGCTCATAAATAGCATTTGGTAATTTACTCTTTATTCTCTAAACTGTCCTCTTTGGTCCTACATGTCATCCGTAACGAATCATGTTTTTTTTGTTGCAATTTTTCAATATTACAAGAGTGGATATTATTTCCCCTAAGCTTGGAGTAACATTGTGGAAAATGGAAGTTTCTTTCTGCTGGAGCATAACTTGGATAGATTTCACATCTTTGCTTTTCCTTAGTAATTTTCGGATCATTTCCCTCTTCGTTTGTTGTTTATGTTCTTTTTTTTCTCTCTAAAATTAGAGTAACGATGCCTTAGTTTGGTTATAGGAGCCAGAGGCAGTGAGTGTAAGAGACTTTGTTGATTGATGAATGGCCTGTGGAGGAAGGCTTACAAGTTAAAAAGCTAAAATATGATTATGAAATGAAAGCAAGATCTCTTGGACGTTCCTTTCTTAATTCATCAGAAATTAATAATTACATTAACCTTTTAGGATAAATATACATATATATGCATGATTCTCTTATCAAGGTGTATAAATTTTGTTGAAGAATCCTTGGGAAGGTAAATGGTGGTGCTCTCTTTTCTCTTCTTTCTATGCAATGGCATGCTTCATGAGAGAGAGAGAGAGAGAGAGAGAGAGAGAGAGAGAGAGAGAGAGAGAGAGAGAGAGAGAGAGAGAGAGAGAGAGAGAGAGAGAGAGAGAGAGAGAGAGAGAGAGACCTATTCATCAAAGGAGAAGTCTAAATAGGATAAGCTCATATCATGCCAGTTACTGCAACATTCACTGAATTGCAAATGGGTTCTGTATCCTTTGCCAAACTTGAGATGTATATGTTCACTATCTAGCTTTGAGTGTATATAATGTATTATTAAGTTAAGATTAATATATCCTTGCCTTGTGGGATGTTGGTTGATGCATACCTCCTTGGCCTTTTCAAATAGTAAATACTTTCTTTCTTCTTCTTTGTTTCTCCCGTTTTTTAAACGAAAGATATGGTAAAAAAGCGACACACTTTTCTGAAAGTAATGAAAGGGAAATAGAAAGAGAATGATAGTATTATATAATTATATGCATATGATGGGTCCGCTGCAAAATTTAAAGAACATAGGAAAACCAAAATAGTGATTCTAAATTTGAGAAATAATCTTTTAAGTTACAGTGCCTGAAGTGTTAATTACAGCATCACTAGAGTATTGATATTATTATAGAAACTATGTGTGCCAATATATTCTTGCAGCTATTTTGGTTGCTTACATATGCTTGTTATATGGGTTTCGCTTGCTGGAGTGGTTCTAGACCAGGTGACTGTTGTCTTAGAAAGTGTTGGGACTTGGCTATTAGTTGGCTTAAGGGGGTGAAAAAGGCAGAGATTATATTAATTGTGAATAATGATCTACATCTTTAATTAGGTCGTTTAAATATAGAAAACAAATGGTACACTTTGCATAAAAGGGAGATGCCACTTATCAAGCAGTACTCATATTACATTTCAGATAGAAAACACTATTTGGGAGAAAAGCTGAGTTGCCTTTGGCTTTTGATACTGATTTGTCACCACATGCATTCCACTTTGCACTACAAAAAACCACTTTGGACCCTCAAACTCTTGCCTCTACTACAAGAAAAGCATACACATTCCTCTTCTTTCTCCACCTCCATATAATTTCAACTCCCACTTCTCTGTATATTCTTCCTCATAGACTTACACAAACATCTTTAGGTTAGCTCTAGTGGTTTTTTTGTTGTATCAAGACAAGACTTCTGTTGACATACATAGTTATATAGTGAGTATGAAGAGTGGAGGTTACAGTGTCCAGCAAGCTCTCACGCATGAGGCTGCAACCATGGTGAAACAAGCCATGACCTTGGCTAGACGGCGTGGGCATGCTCAGGTCACGCCTCTCCATGTGGCTAGCACCATGCTCTCTGATTCCACAGGTTTATTCAGAACAGCTTGCCTCCAATCCCACACCCATCCTCTTCAATGCAGAGCACTCGAGCTCTGTTTCAACGTCTCACTCAACCGCCTACCAAATTCCACAGGGAGTAGTGCTATGTTGGTCCCTTGTATATCCAACGCTCTGGTTGCAGCTTTCAAGCGTGCGCAGGCTCACCTGAGACGTGGTTCCCTCGAGAACCAGCAACAACCAATCTTGGCCGTCAAGATCGAACCTGAGCAGCTTGTAATTTCAATTCTTGATGATCCTGGTGTGAGCAGAGTGATGAGAGAGGCTGGTTTCTCAAGTCCTCATGTGAAGAGAAAGGTGGAGCAAGCTGTGTCTTTGAAGACCTACTCCAGTAAACCCAAAGCAAGCAAGGTTCTAACTTCTGAGGTCAAGAACTTCAGGTAACGTGACGTCTCTTCTTGTGAAATTACTAAGGTTTTGTCATGAAACTGTGAGTTCTAATTCAGTTTCTCAATCACTGTGTTTGCTTTTCATATAGTGAGATTGAGAATGAGACAATTCTAGAATGCTCAACGACAATGGAGGCAGAGGGTAAGAGAAGCAGCAATGTCATCACCACTCTCCCATCTTGGCTTCAGCTATACAAGAAGGAGAATCAACATAAGGACACTGTGAGTTATTATGATCTCATCATTCTCATTATTTCATATTTTTGTTGTGTCCTAAGATTTGGTATCGCTTTGGATTTGGCAGGATTCAGATAACTCAATCCATGAAAGACCATCTGAGAAAACCCTCGAGCTTTCTTCTCTTTCTCCTTCTTCTTCTTCTTCTTCCAACACTTATGCTCCTACAGAACCTAACTTAAGTCTGTTTGTTCCCGAACATGACAACGAGCTCAAGACAACGCTCTTGATTAACCCTGCGGTCTCTTTTAGTGATGAATATGTCTCCAGGTTTAAGGAGATGAACGCTGAGAACCTAATAACTCTCTGTAATGCCTTGATGAACAAGGCACCAAAACAGAAGGATGTAATTCCTAAGATCGCAAAAGCAATCTTGAAATGCAGATCGGGATCAACATCTAGAAAGCTCCGCAACAGAAATCAAAAAGAAGAAACTTGGTTATTGTTCCAAGGTGTGGATGTTGAGGCCAAAGAGAAGATAGGTAGAGAGTTGGCAAATTTTGTGTTTGGGTCGCAGAACAGATTCGTCTCAATCAGCTTGAGCAGCTTCTCTTCCTTTCCCATGGAAGATCTCAGGAAAAAGAGGAGGAGAGATGAAGATTGCTGGAGATACACTCAGAAATTGTTCGAAGCTGTGTCTTGTGATCCACACAGAGTGTTCTTCGTGGAAGATATTGAGGAAGCTGTCTATTTGTGTCAGATGGGTTTCAAAAGAGCCATTGAGAGAGGAACAGTTAAAAGTGGAAGCGGTGAAGAAGCTTTGCTTAGAGACGCGATCGTGATCTTGAGCTGTGAAAGATTCAGGTCAAGATCAAGAACCTGTTCGCCTCCAGACCCTTATATATCTCTCGATTTAAGCCTCTCTCTTGATCATCATGATGGTGATGGTGAAGATGGAGATGCTAGTGATTATATTGGATTACTCGACGCTGTGGACGCACGCATTCTTTTCAGCGGGTCGTCATCATGATTCATGTCTTGTCACATACTAATATTGGATGGTCATGGTCATGTATTCATTGCGACAGTCAACTAGGAGGCTAGCTTAGGAACTTTGTAGAGGCAACGACTTTATATTTATAAGATGAACATTAAAATTATGTATTTAACAAACTTATTCAAATTATGGCTTAAATTCTCTTTATATTTCCAACTGATTAGTTTGAACCTTTAAATTGATTGTAATGAACACCAAAATTAGTACTCTTTTTCAAATGGTGGATTCTCTTGCAAATTGAGCTTTTCCCCTCTATTTTAGTTTTACTAACAAAGAACATAAAAAAGCCTCAAGATGGAACCAAAAAACATATATAGTATTTGACATGGCAAATAGTACAATCCAAAATCTTGTTTTAGCTTATTAAAACTCATACATTATCATAACTGATATAGAGTAAGATCCTTGAATATCGACTTTATACTATCATCATCGCCTGAAAAAATAGTTTACATACAGTAATTTTTTTTAATAAATTAATAATATTGAAGTTATGAAATTTTGTAAAATTTTATTAATTTATAAAGATATCTATTGGTTGATAAATTAAATTTAAGACTGAAAAATATTAGTTTATGGAACATTAATATTATATAGTAGAATTTTTAAAGCGACTGCGACGGGAGTGGAGAAGTTCCGTCTTGTTGTTAAAGCAACTCAAATATAATTCGAAAATGAAAAAAATAGCTTATAGTGATCTTTTGATTTTCATCGAGCCGGACCTATGTCAGTTTTATTTGTTTGGAATAGAAAATAAACTTGGGGTATCATGAACATGAACTTGCATACTCATATGATTATTCTAGTTTGTTCTGATTATGCACAGAATTAGTGATCTGGAAAGATTGGTTAATCAATAACTAATTTGATCGAAATTGTAAATTGTGATAGCTGTGTTGCAAAATAATCAATCCATGATTATCAAAAAGTTTGCTAATCACTATCAAAAACTTACCATTGTACCATTCTTTAAATAAGTATAAATCCAATAGAACCAGAACCAAAATCAAGCTGTTGAAATCGAAAATTTCTAGTGATGAAGCCATGCGCCCCGCTTTAGAGCTGAGCAAGAGGACGACCAGCCGTACAAAATCGTTGAAGTTCACGGTGAAGCTTCCTCTACTGGATATCGAAGCTGCTCATGAAGAAAACAAAGGCAAGGAGTTCACGAAGAAAGAGACTAAGAAGACGAAGATCACAAACTAGAAATCACTGGCCATAAGCTCTTTTACCATTATCACTGTCATTGGGCTACATCAAATTTTCAGCAAGCTGAAACTGTTAAGTTACATGAGCTTCCAACCTAAAAATAATTGGCAGTAAGTGGATTAGTTCATATTCCTTATATATTATTAAGAATTGATGAGAGTAGAACACATAAGTGTTTAAGAAGAATTGTATATTGCTCTCATCTAAATAACAAGTAAGAATACATACATATTTATACTAAAGATATTGCCTAAACTAGATAGATACAAATCATCAGAATATCTAAATAATAACTATTCAATATATACTAATAATATTAGGGATCTTGTACATCCTTCTATACGCCCCGTCAATCTCAAGGTGGTAGTGGAGTTTAACGAAATGGAAAGCTTGAGATTGACTTGGATTGTAATGTGGTGCAGTGAAGCTTGGTGATGCGGAGCTTGGTTTAATGTTTTGTTGGAGAGATGTTGAGGATGAACATAGCTACAAGATGTTGACGATGTTGATGATGGCGGCAACATGATGACAATGACCGGAAATGCAGTGTTGCGGTGAGTCTCCTTCTGTGATGAAGGGGGGGTAACAGAGATCAGATATCTCATTTTATTGACATCCTTCTATGGCTGAGATCCGGTGGTGTGGCAGTTGCTGTGTCATGGGACTGAGATGAATATGAGACACATTGGGATGGAGTAGTGAGATCGTGTTGACCTCATGAGATGGCTGGGATTGAGCCAGCGTTTTGGTAGAAATAACAAAGATGCAGATCAAGGATCTCACATGGTGCCATGGAGATAGTGACTTAGAAAAAAGACCAAGTTTTTTTTTTTTTTAGAACAAAAATTTAAGAAAACCCTTTACAAAAGAAAAAAAGAAAGTTTTGTTTTGTATATAATTTTCTTTTTTAAATTAATTGCAAATAGTAGAAAAAAACAAGATTTTAGAAGCTTTTAGCTTAGATTCATAGGCATATGATATGCTTGAATAGAGAAACATTTGGTTTAGATTCAGAGGTCTATGATAGACTTGAATACCATGAAGCTCTATGGCTTAGATTCAGAGGTTCATGATGAATTTGAATTGTATAAGCACTTGGCTTAACAGAAAACAATTTAAAAAGAAATTTAATAGCTTAAAGAAATCGAAAATAAAAAGAAGTTTGATCATTAGATCAAAACTTTGGAGCAAAATCGTTCTGATACCATATTAAGTTACTTGGACTTCCAACTTAAAATCAATTGGCAGTAAGTGAATTAGTTTATGCTCCTTATATATTAGTTTGGATCTCTTCCAACTTCCGATGTAAGATATTATCCTAATAGAAACAAGCTCTTCGGCCGTCTGTGTCTCCACCGGAAAAACAGGAGCCGTTGCCGGGAAATAATGTGCCGCTGCAGTAAAAGCAAAATCCACCAAAGTCTTAATCGATCGACTTCTCTTCTTTTCTTTTTTTTAGATCATGTCTTCTTCTCTTCTCGTCTTCTCTTCTCTTCTTTTTCTCTTCTCTTCTTCTTCTTATTCTTCTCCTCAGAATGATCTTACGGCTCTCAGATCGGATATAGGCTCGGATCCAATTACTACAGACCAGGTACGATTTAGGCTCTTACTGTTCAATTGAATCAGAGCGTCTTTCCTCACAGTTTTCATCCAAATGTCAGATTTACTCAATAGCATTTCTCTATCAAAAGGTGGTTTGTTCTTACTCAATAGATCAAAACACTACTGTTCTTTACGTGAGTGTCAGAAATGAATTTTGAAGTTGATTATTTACAAAAGTTTTCTGACCAGCTACTTGAGGAGATGCAAGACAAGTACACGGGCCAAGTTCGGGACTGCTCTGATCTGACTAGTGCCAATGAAATCTTCACTTTGCTCAAGACTAGTGCCAATGAAATCCTCACTTTGCTCGAGAGAGGTTCCTCTAAACGGCGAACTGCAGAAACACTCTTTAATATACAATCAAGGTGAATGTATTTGATGTTTGTGTTCTTTGCACTTATGATGTCAAGGTCTCTCTCCTACATAATGCAGTCATTTCACTTGCAGTCGATCACATTCTCTGTTCTCAATAACAATACATATCAAAGAAGCTACTCCGGAAGGTGAATAGTTAATAAAGTGTGGCAAGCTGAACTAGGTTGACTTGGCAGGATCAGAAAATATATCACGTTCTGGTTCTAGAGATGTAAGTAGTCTCTTACTATTCGATCGAATTGGAGCGTCTTTCCTCCAACATGACTCACTTCGAAGCGCGCTTCGCCTCGCTTCACGCCTCTGCATTAAAACAAGGTAAATTTCTTTAAAGATACAATTTTTCAATATGATAGTTGCTTTTCTGTTTCCAAAACAAATTTTTAACTCTGAGACTCTACAGCTTCTCAACGTTAACTTTTTAAAACTTCTTTTATAGCGACTCTTAGTCTTGACTCGTGTCTTTCCATCCATCTTATTCTTCATCTTCTAAAGTTAACCATCTTTCTCTCTTCTATTCTCTCTCGATTCTAGTCTCTCTATTCTCTACTCTTTCTTTATCATGCCTGATAAAGAAATAGATCCAGGAAACAAATATGCAACTCGAATTGCAGGATATACTTACAAGTGTAGTTTTTGTGATAAAATAACAAATGGTGGAGTTAACCGTGCTAAACAACATGTGGTTGGTCATAGAAATGCTACTGCCTGTATTAAAGCTCCAAATAGTGTAAAAGAAGAAGTCAGACTCTTCATGTTTAAAAAGGCTCAAATCAAAGCCACCACTCATATGAAGCCACAACTAGCAACTGAATACGATGATTATGATGATGAGGAAGAAGCAGTTGAACTTCAGCATACTCCCAAAAGTCAGGGACTTAATTTGAAGAAACGTAAGGGTCCAATGGACAGGTTTGTTACTCCAACTCCTGATGATGTCTTGAAAGGAAGAAAAGATCGAATATAAGTTTTTGGTGTATGTGATAAGGAACTTAGGGACAAAGCTTGTAGTGCTATAGCAAGGTGGTTCTATGATGCTGGGCTTCCATTTAACGCTGTTAATCATGACAGTTTCAAAGAGGCACTTGATTTAGTTGGTCAATAGACTCAATACAGTTCTGGTTTTAAGCCACCAACTATGTATGAGTTGCGAGTTCCTCTGCTGAAGAAAGAAGTCCAGAAAACTGAAGATAAGCTGGTGGAGCACAAGACAGAATGGACAACTAAAGGCTGTTCAATTATGTATGATGGATGGCGTGATTCTGTTGTACAAAAAGACATCATTAACTTCCTAGTTAACTCGCCAAGGGGATCAGTTTTTATCAAATCTGTTGATGTTTCAGAGGTTGTGAAAGACTCTAATTTTCTGTTTAATATGTTTGATCGTATGGTGGAAGAAGTTGGGGAAGCTAATGTAGTCTAAGTGGTAACTGACAACGTTTCAAACTATGTGAAAGCTGGGAAGCTGCTAATGGCGAAAAGAACACATCTGTATTGGCTTCTTTGTGCAGCACACTGCATTGATCTCATGTTGGAAGATATAGGAGAAATTCCTACAGTGAAGTCTGCAATAAGGAATTGCATCTTCATGAATGGATATTTATACAGTCACATTTCTCTTGTGAATATGATGAGAAGATTCACAAATCAGAGAAATCTGCATAGACGAGCAGTTACTCGGTTTGCTACATCATTTATCACACTTGCACAGCATAATAAGCAGAAGAAAAATTTGAGGGATTTTGTGAATTCTCAAGATTGGAAAGATTCTAAGTGGCCCAAAGAAGCAGGAGCAGTGAGAGTGAAACAGATCATTATGCAAGACAGCTTTTGGAGGAACGTCTTACATGCACTTAAGTTGACAGGTCCTCTAGTTAAGGTGCTTTGTATGGTTGACGGAGAGAAAATACCAGCTATGAGGTATATCTATGAAGCAATGGATATGGCTAAAGAGGCTATTGTCA